TTATATTATATCATATTATTATTATTATTTCCCCTCTTTTATATTTTTAGAAGTTTGAATTATAATTTAGATTAAGAAAATTGTCACTAACAAGATTCGAACTCGTACCTTAGAGTCTGGAAACTAATACTCCAACCATTAAGCTATCGAATTTTTCGATTATAGTTTACAATAAATTATATTTATATACAAATAAATGTATATCCAAATAAATATATAAATACAATATATTTATATATTTTTATATTTATACATTGATGTGTGTGGTCCTCTAGACACAACATCACTAGGAAGAAATAAATATTTCCTCACATTTGTTGATGAGTTTTCAAGAAAAATATGGGTGTACTTGATAAATGAGAAAGGAGAGGTGTTTTCTGTTTTTAACAAATTTTGTGCTCATGTTGAAAGACAGGCTGACAGCAGGTTAAAAACCTTAAGGACTGATGGAGGTGGTGAATACAAGTCTAGAGAGTTCAGCAAGTTTTGTGAAGAGAAGGGAATAGTTCATGAGGTGACTGCCCCCTATACACCACAACACAACGGGTTGGCTGAAAGGAGAAATAGGATGTTGGTTGATATGGCAAGGTGCATGTTGAAAGGAAAAGGTCTACCACATAACTATTGGGGAGAGGCAGTAACTACTGCTGCCTACATTCTTAACAGGTGCCCAACCAAAAGATTGAAGTTTGTGACACTGGAAGAGGCCTGGTCTGGTGTCAAGCCACAAGTGTAACACTTGAAGATTTTCGGCTCAATATGTCATAGACATATCCCAGATGAGAAGAGGAGGAAACTAAATGACAAAAGTAAGCCACTGATCTTGATTGGGTACCATCCAACGGGTGCATACAAGTTGTATAACCCAGAAAAACAGATAGTGGTGATTAGTAGGGATGTGATAGTAGATGAGGAAGCCAGCTGGAACTGGAAAGAAAAGGAGGAGGTTGTAACACAAATCCCATGTGTTTTGGAAGATAAAACTGAGTCATCAACTGCTGTTTCAACCAATAGAAGGACTCAGAGGACGAGGTTCCCTTCCACTAGGCTTGCTGGACATGAAGTTTATGAAGATGGTATAATTACAAGAGATGGTGATCTAGTTCATCAAGCTTTGATGGCAGACACAGAACCCATAACCTGAAAGGAAGCCTTAAAGCTGAGAGAATGGAAGGATGCTATGAAAGAGGAGATGGAGGCGATTGAGAAAAATAGAACATGGGAATTAGTCAAACTACCACAAGATAAACTGCCTATTGATGTGAAGTGGGTTTTCAAGCTAAAATTGAAACTTGATGGAAGTGTGGCCAAGCATAAGGCCAGATTGGTAGCAAAGGGCTTCCTATAGCAAGAAGGAATTGACTACATAGAGGTATTTGCTCCTGTAGCTAGGATGGAGACCGTGAGACTAGTTACAACAGTAGCAAGTTATAAAGGCTAGAAGATGGTTCAAATGGATGTGAAGTCAGCCTTCCTTAATGGCCTATTGGAAGAGGAGGTGTACATTGTACAACCACCTGGTTTTGAGAAAGAAGGGAGAAAACACCTTGTGTACAGATTAAGAAAGGCCTTGTATGAGCTCAAGCAAGCCCCTAGAGCATGGAACATGTTGATTGATGCAGTTCTAGCCAAACTAGGATTTGTGAAATGCACAGTTGAATTTGGTGTGTATGTGAAAAACACAAGTCATACAAACACACTCATTGTGTGCTTGTATGTTGACGACTTAATCATTACAGGAAATGAAAATGCAGAGATTGGAGAATTTAAAGAAAAGATGAAGGCTAAGTTTGAGATGACAGATTTAGGAACACTGAGTTATTTCCTTGGGCTAGAGTTTGTACATACTCACAGTGGAGTGTTTCTACACCAGAAGAAATATGCACAGGAGATTTTGAAGAGATTCAAGATGGAAGAGTGCAATGAGGCTGTAATTCCAGTACTGCATGGAGTAAAACTAACTGAAGAATATGAGGCTGAAGTGGTAGATGGAACTTTATATAAGCAGATAGTAGGGTCACTCAGGTTTTTGTGTAATAGCAGGCCAGATTTGAGCTATGGAGTAGGCTTAATCAACAGATTCATGCATGACCCCAGAACACCCCACCTGACAGCTGCTAAACACATCCTGAGATATCTAAAAGGAACTACGGATTGGAGAATTTTCTTTCCAAAAGCTGATGAGTAGAATGGAGCACTGCTGGAGGCATTTTCTGATTCAAATTGGTGTGGAGATAGAGTTGAGAGATGGTTACTTATTCAGATATTTGAACGCACCAATTTCTTGGTGCTCAAAGAAGCAAAATGTTGTGGCCCTATCATCATCATGTGAAGCAGAGTACATAGTTGCCTCAGAAGCAGCTTGTCAGAGTGTATGGCTGGAAGAAGTTTTGAAGGAGCTGAAGCTGGAATACACGAAATCAGTTCAGCTCAATGTAGACAACAAATCTACAATCAACCTATCGAAGAATCCTACACTACATGGAAGGAGCAAATACATTGACACGAAGTTTCATTTTCTTCGTGATAAGGTGAGTAAAGGGAAGCTGACACTAACTTATTGTCACAGAGAAGAGCAAACAACAGACATTTTCACTAAATCACTGAAGCAAATAAGATTCAACAAGCTCAGGAAGAAGATTGTGATGACTAATCTAGGATTTTTGGATTAAGGGGGGGGGGGGTGTTGACTATTTTTTTGTAACCCAAAACCGTATTAGAAAAAAACTGTTGAGACTAACAGATTTCTAGTAACAGAACCAAGCACTTTAAATACTATTCATTTCATGTAAACAAATAGAGATTAATAAAGTTTTGATTTTGAATACTTATCTTCTAAGAATCTTCTCTTCTCTTGTTATGGGATTGACATGATCCCTGCAAAATAAAAGAAACGTGATTAGTGAAGCAGATAGGAGATTAATCGGTGGTAAAGAAGAAAGAAGAAAGGCGTTGATCGGTGGAGAAGAAGTGAAGTTTGAAGGTTCAAGATAAGGGTTACTACTGCAGAAAAAAGAGAGGAAAAACAGAAGTCAAAGTGGTAGATGAGAGTGATAAGAAGAAGAAATAGATTTTTTCTTCGGTAAATAGACTGGTGAATAGTAAACGGCTCAACAATTTAATGAAAAAGAAAAACTAAAAGTCATTGTATCAGGAAAAGAATTGATAATACATCAAATATCAACTTCATTTTCAAATTTAAACATTGACAGCATGCTTAGAGGAATGGATTAGACTCAAAGAAGGTGGCATCCATAGGAACAGATACCATTTGAGTTGAGGGGCAAAAACAATGAGCTTTTCTCGAAACGGAGAGTAATTGAGGAACACAGATTTAAGAGACTTTCAAATTTTACTTTTACCTGAATAAGATCATGGGGGAAATGGGTAGACTGCAGACATGGAGAGGAGGAACAAGGGAGACGTCTTGCTACAATTACAGCATGGAATTTGAAGAATGGTTGTTGAGAACGCATGAGGGCATGTGTGGTGGTTGCCAAAAGTGGCAAGAAGCACAACATTGTTCACCATGGAGACTATGCAAAAAAAAAATGAAAAAAAAAAAAGATGGATTCAAAGAGTAGCCAGCCTACTAATACCATATAAAAGTGATTTCATTAATCGTGTACTGTGAAACACGGTTCTTCAATTTGCTTTTATTGTGTGGGATGCTTACCAATACTTTATTGATTCTTATCAATGAAATATCCAAACCTATAAAAAATCATTACTTTTTGTATATACTACTTTTAGATGCTTTACCGATATATCGATAAAATGTCCAAACGTTTAAATTGTATATATTCAATACAAGTTTAAGAAATATATACATATATATATATATATATATATATATATATATATAGAAACATATAAATATTATTTTTCATAAACCAAAGAAAAGAACTGTTGTTATGAACTATTTTATGAGATTGATAGTGTTATTCGTATATGTAAATACTAGAAAATATTGTATAATGACAGTGACTTGTATTTTTTACTTCCACAATACTATGATTTGAAATTTGGATTTACATAATTATAATTTTATATTTATTATGTTTCCTTCTTCTTTTTCTAGAATAAAGGTATCGTCTTTTGTATCCATACAAGAGAGATGATATATGATTCTCTATTTACAATCATTAGTAAAGATATAATTAGAGAAAGAAGTAAAATCAATGTAGTCCATAAATTATAGCTAAACAATATGTCCCTTGTTCCATACTTACACAATCATATCTTTAACAACTTCATCAATCGTGTTCCCCCATTTTTTCCTAGATGAAGGCAAATGTTTAGAATAAGGTATACAAGGCATATATGCATTGTTCACACTTTAAGCCCTTGGGAATTTGCAAGAAGTAGCATGTTAGAGATATAAAATTGACCGAGAGTATTTGTCTAACATCTTCCAGTTTTTGTTAGAGTTCGTTATTAACTCTTTCTACACTACATAAGAATTATATATTTAAAAAGACACCAACGTGCAGGCATTAAGGCATGTACCAGTTCATCGGATAATTATATAAAACAAACCAAAACGAGATACACTGGCTGCGAAAGAACAAAATATAATCATATTAAACTCAAGTATGTAATAAGATGTATGAAACTTCAATGGACATTGGACAAGCCAAACAGCAATCTATTCTTTGTACTAATTACGCATATTATCTTATCTAATATGGCAAGAGAGAAATGAAATGGTCCCGAGAGAAAAACTGAACACCCTGGGAGACAAAAAAGATGCTACATATAACATAACATACATACATCATATCCTCAATTAAACTTCTATTGTGTATAACAAACAATATTGGCCAGGCTTTTAAATTCTAATTCCTGTTACAGTTTTGTTGCATTTCTTGATATTGCAAGAAATCACAAACAAATATAACAGCATTCGCAGACACTATAAAAAACCTTGACATTACAGCAGAAATTACCGTGTCAAATTGGTTTTTTAGACCTTGGCCTTAAGCTCCATCTAAAAAGAATCAAAAAATATACAACCCATCTTCCTCTTCCTCTTCCTCTTCCTCTTCTTCGTCATCATCATAATCATCGTAATAATAGTCCTCCACGTCCTCATCCTCACTATGCAACATAAACTGTTGCCCGAATTCCTCATCTTCATTCAAAAGCCCCACATCATGATGATCAAGCTCATCATCATCTTGAAAACCATGGTCTCTGCTCTTCTTCCTCTCACTCCTTCTCTTGGGCACCAAATCCACTTCCCCATTCTCAACCCCACTCCATGGCACCCACAAATCTGCGTGCCTGCCCAACGCTCTGTCCCAATCCCCAACCACCACAGTCCCCAAATCCGCCTCCCTCGCCCTCCTCAACATCTCCGAAAAATCCGAATCATCCGAAACCAAAAATAGCCAATCAATCCCTCGACTCATCGAATGCACCATCTGCCTCTTCAGCGCCCAATCCGCCGCCTGCGGCTTGTCCTGCACAGTCTTCACAAACACTCCCGCCCGTCGCAGCTCCGCCGCAAGCCCGTACCCCACCTTCGGCACCACCAGAGTCCTCGCCGCCTCGTCATACTTATGATTCCCGCGCAAAAACCGTTCCTTGAAACGGTCCCGTTTCTTCTTCCCCTTCAGCGACTTCAACCGATTCAGCTTCTTCTGTCGCTCGCGCTGGTGCAGCTGCTTGAAGTGCTTCTTCAGGTCCATGTGGGTCTTGCATTTGCGCCCGCACACGCCGCACGTGTAGGGTTCCGAGGGTGTGACGACACCCTTTCGTTCAAGAATGTCGAGGCTTCTGCGTTGGCGTCGCTCGTGGAGGACCCACTGGGGGAGGTGGACGAAGGCGTGACGGTTGGCGTAGGCAGAGAAGTCGGTGACGTCGCCGAAGCGGGATGCGAGGGTTTTGAGCGAAACCGCAGCGTCGTATGGGGGGCCGCGAGGGGGCTTGTTGTCGAGGTCCCAGAGAACGACGACCTTGTCATTTCTGGGGGCGTAAATGCCTTGAGAGTTCTTGACCATGTCGATTTCGATGCAGCAGCATTGGATGCGTGGGTAACGATGAGAGAAGGGTTTGTTTGCAGGAAGGTGCCTTCGTTGTGTTTGTGATAATGCGGAGTGAAAGGTGAAGCTGATTGAGTTTGCGTTGTGGAGAAAGAGGGAATTGTTCATGGTGGATGGTGTGAATAGATAGATAGATAGATAAGAGTATGTGTTTAGTTTAGATGGAAGAAAAAAGAAGGAACTTTTGCTTCTTTCTCATCATCTCATCATCTTCCCACTTTTTTCCTTGATATCTTTGTTTGCATGTTCGTGAGGCGCTTCCTTATGCAAGTTATGTGGCCCAATACAAAATATTTTTAGTTGAGTAACAAATTTTATTTTAAAAAATAAAACTTGTAAAAATATTTTTTGACATTTTATATATATTATATTAATCAATGTTTTTAATAACAATTTTCTGATATAAAGATTTAGTTAAGTTGAACATGTTTTGAAAACAATTTTCGTTGTGCCATTAGTAGACCTGATGAATCAGTGCCCCTTAAACACAACCACCATAGCGTTCAATCTTCATTGTGTCAAATTTTAATTTTCCATCTTGGTGAAGATTTTCTCATTCAATCATCTTTGAATCTCGTTTCTTTCAATTCTATTATTATAATGGTGTGGTAATGGCACTGGTACAACAGAAAAAGAGCAGTTTTGAAATAAAAGAAAAAAAAGAGGAAAGGGGAGTGTGTAAGGAATAACGGGAAGTGTAAAAACACAATTGTCTTTGCGCATGTGATCTGGTTATAAAACCCAAGGCCCAAAATTGGTCTATAATTTGTTAGGTTACACTTTTTTCTATTTTAAAAGCCTAATTCGGCTATTAGTCTCTTTAAATGAACATTTCATATTAAAAAAAATTTAGACAGACTTGGCAAATCTCTAAATTGGGTAGTTAGCTCAATGGCCAATAAAAAAAAAATCTATGTCATGTAGGTTAAGTTTTTACAAGGGTTTAAGAAGAAATTAGTCATATGATGCAAGTCTATTTCTGAGTCTTTTGATTATTATAATAACTTATTTAAGTCCTGGTTAGACAAAACAATATTATAATAATACTTTTTGAGGAAGTGTTTAGGAAATTAAATTATTTAATAGATTTAAAAAAAATACAAATAAGTCAAATGAGATAGATGATCTCATTAATCAAGTTTTTAAATTATCTTTAGGAACCAACATATATACTAAAACAATTTCTAAAAATACACAGAAATTTGTTAAAGTGTCTACAAATAGTCTTAAAAATCAGACCAACAAAGAAGAAGTTTCTTCTTCTACAAACAAAATTGTGAGTTAAATATGTTTACACGACCTATTAACTCCACACAAACACAATTAGAAATTGTTGATATGAATAATACAACAGATTCTAACTAAACACAAAGGTTTCCTGGAGTCCCCAAAAGATTAAGGGAACATCAAACTTGGAGTCAAAACCTGTTACAACATCCAGGAATTTTAGATAGATTCTTAAATAGACAAAGATCTATTAGTGTCAGACGTTTAGAAGACTTAGTAGATATCCAACAAAATACTGAGATAGGATCAAACACAAGAATAGATTATTTGAATCCTAGACAGTTATACAATATTAGTTTGTTAAGTTCAGAAAGGACTAGCCTTTACCGATATAGAAAAATAGAAGATTTTCATCTTTCAGACAACACTTATGAGATAATTCCTTTGATATCTCAACAAACTGGTAGGAAACTACTAGGCCAACAAGGAATATATGTTCATATGGGATTGATTACCATTGGAGTTAGATCCTTGACTAGACATATTATTGGAGCTAGAGCTTTGATAGTTTTACATGACTCTAGGATTCACAAAGTGTGATAGGTATTTTAGGTAGATTTAAATTAACCTTTTTCATTGATATACCTAGCTGACTTTACACTAACACTTTCTGATTTTGTTAATCATATATGTCTAGAAGTACAAACAGTAGGATTTGGACCCAATTGGGTAGGCAAAAATCTACATTTAGACATCACCTTCATTGGAAGAATTAGTAATCATATTTCTTCCATGTATAGGATAGATACAAGACCATTAGAAGAAGCTATTAGCTCTCATGGTACAAAATTTTTGCTAGCTCAAGCCTTCACAAGGAGAAATGAAGGACACTTGTGGAAAACACACTTACCAAGGGAAGAAGATACTCCCATTATTGCCCCTTCTTCTGTTATCTTACATAACAGATCTAGAGGACTTAGTCTAAATTTCACAGACTATAGAAATATTCCACAACTCGACCTAGAACAAGATAGGTCAGTGGAAAACAGGAATAGCACTTCTGCTATTCCTGATAACGAAAACATTTCTATGATGAATGTCATAGAAAATGAAGAAGAAGATGATGATAACATGACAGATGAAGAATGAAATCATCAGGCTATTATAGCCATGCTCAGACAAGGAACTGTCTCAGACAAATGAAAATGCCCAAATTAATGAAAAAGATGATATCATTAATGAGATAGACGATATTATAAATGCATTTTTAGATGATTTTTATCTAAATGAAGAAGATGATACATTAGATAATTTATCTAAAGTCTCAGAACCCTTATCCATATTAGGGTTAGCAGACACAAATGATGAATCAAAAGATACACTAGATAATGTATCTTTAGTTTTAGAACCCTTGTCTGGGTTAGTCAACACAAATAGTGATACATTAGATAATGTATCCATAGTTTCTGAACCCTTATCAACACTAGGGTTAGTAAACACAAATGTTGGATCAAATGATTTCCAACCTCATAGTTACCAGTTGGAACCAGATGGTATACACAGTTACTCTATTGGTTTTCCACCAAGAGTATCACCACAAAATGTTGTCTTTAGCAACAACCAATACACAACATTAGGCAAAAGACTTCCGATAGAGAAAAATTTCCAGATGCCTAATCTTCTTTTAAACATAGGAGGAATAAATCATTAACTATTGTCAACATATATTGAGCAATGGACTGCAGCTGTAATCCGTGATTATGGCATACACCATGAGAAAGACGTCCAATATTCTTAAGAAATGATTTCCAAAGGCGAAACCTATTTAGGTGATATAGCCAGGGCATGTTGGGAATCTTTTAAAAAGAATTACCCAGCTGATTTAAACCAGTTAGTGATCGAAGTAGGTCCTAACATATACAACTTTTGTTCTCTTTTACAGAGACTACTCACTTCCCAATCTGCTAATGATGGGAATACACTTAGACAAAAAATCTATCTAGGTCACCTATAAAGACTTTTCATAACATACTTTGGAAAGATAAAAGAATTTTTACAAGATTATCTCATGTACGCATCCATAGTTGGATGTTTCCATGATTTAAGCATTAGAGAAAAGATGTTTCTCAAACTACCAAAAAAACTAGGCCAAAAGATCCAAGAATCCTAGAAAAATGATGAGGTTACTCCCATGTTGAACAACCTCTCCATATGTATACAACACATCATGAAAGTGATGGAAGATACGTGTACACATATTACTATACAAAAGCAATTAAAAAATTCCGATGTTGGAATTTGCAAACAAATATATACTCCTCAGCAATATAATCAAAGTAAACCTTATAGAAGGAATGTACCTAGAAGTAAACCTAGGTATAATAAAACTTACAATAAGAATTCTTTTTCTGTAAAACAAAAACCCACTACTTCTAGAAAGACTTACACGATTAGGGCTTCAAATTATAGAAAACCAACTTTAAATCCTGACAGACACGTTAGGAAATTTAGAGAAAACAAAACATACAAGCAGACTTTGAAATGTTTTGCTTGTAATCAACTAGGACATTTCTCTAGAGATTGTCCTAATATTGCAAATCTTTACACAAAAAAGGCAGAACTGATAAAATCCTACTACATGAACCTTCTTCCAATTGATGGAGATGTTTCTACAGATTCTAAAATACTATTAGTGATTAGTATATAAAAATACACTGATGAAATCAATTTAGACAAAACCCATAAATATTATGGACTAATAAATGATTTCATAAATAATGAATTCATACACCTTTATCCACAAGAAAATGATTTTCAACTGGATAATAAATATAATGAATTAGGAAATATATTAGACGATTTTGGGTATTGTCTAATGAATACAACAATTTTCTTCTGTGATAAGGAAACTAATAAAAGGGTATTGCAGAATCCTATCAGTTATATAGGTATAGATATGGCAAGTCCAATCAACAAAGGCAAGTTACTAGCCTCAACAACTGAAGAGTTTGATACTCTAAGGTTTTGAACACAGCATCTTCCGGTTTTACCAGAAGATCATCCTCAACAATTCAAATGTCTGAGGAACTGTCCCGTTTCAAGGGAACAAAAGGTTCTACTTGATGTTCTTCATAGAGCTTGTAGTCCAACAACAAAGTTTAATGTTATCAATGCATTAAACTACTACTTTGCGAAAACACTGCCAGCTTCTTTTGAAAAACCCAAGAAAGAGGCCTACTACCTTTTTACTGGTGATAAGTGTGGCGTTTACCTATCATACCCTTCTCTGTTGAAGGCTATAGGTAATGACAAACACAACAAATTTCAAAGATTTTGTAACCTTGAAGAGGTTGTATAGGCAATGGTCAGCTATGTTGGTGGTGACAACAATATGTTTGATCATCCAGAAGTTGGTAATTTCATTTTTGAAAAACTAACAAAACAAGAGAATTTTTTAATTTATGATTCCATTAAACTCAGACAACATTTGGCTTTTGCCAGAAAAATTGAACAAAAATTGAAAAACTCTCTTTTTAAACAGAAAAAGGATTTTCAAAAACATATTTCCTGTTTGGAAAAAGAAAATAAAAAATAAAAAATCGAAATCTTAGATCTTCATCAAAAGATGGACTATGATTCTGAAACCATTAATTATGGAAATTTTACAAAACATAAGGCCTATGTTGGGTCATTAAAAAGAAAATTTTTGGGCCAACTACCTAGCCCAATTCAAGAAAAAATCTGCCAACATGCTTCAGATGTCTTATTAGTAGAACTTGGCGCTTTCCAGAACTGGTTATTTCAACTACTAGTAGATTCTGCACTCCGACAACACTTGAGGATAGTCCAATATCAAGATAATTTGGCTCCCTCATCTTCCG